ACTTTCATCACTTTCATCCAACTCCGCCAAAGCCGCTTCTAATTGCTTTTGATATAGAAACTACGATATTTTTGTGATAGAAATTGAATTTTACGTGAACTGCACAAGAGATACACGAATACCAAATTGTAACCACCACCAGTATCGGCGACTGCTGACGCGACGTGCTCTTGTTGAGACTTGCAATAATTTGCTTTTGTTTCACAGATTATACCAGTGGTGCGTTCACGCATTTGCAAAAAATAATAGATAATTTACATTAGGTATATTTTAAACGTATTTTATCTACCTTGTATTCTACACATTATATACTTAGAAAAAATGATAATAGCTTCAAGGAAAAAATAATTTACTATTTTAGACATTTTATACAAAATTATGCAACGTTTTTCTTGATGTTTGTAGTCATATTCCTTTTTTAAATAAAAGTAAACAGTTTATACAGTACTAAGTTTGTTATTCTGATAGTATTAAAACATTAAAAGTGTATATGCAATTATATTTAGTGGGATTAAAAAAATCATTGAATAGGTGGTGCGTTACCGCACCACTGGGACAAAATGAGTTAAACCCAACGCGGTGCTGATTTCCCGTAATGCGTCTCATAAGAAGTTTTTGTGAAAGTAAAAAAAAAATAGGGAATATTTTTGAAACTTGATGCAAGGTTATAGGTTATGTAGTTATGTTACAAAAGCTGTGCAAGACGGGGTATTTATGTTATCGCTGCGGCATCTTAAGCAGAAGGTCGTTGGGTAAGTTCTCCATAGATGACGCTCACAGCGAGCAAGAGCAGAATGATCTATTTGCATCCTACAAACTATGTAGGCGGCAAAGTGACATTTTGTCGGTTTTTTAGGTTTTTTACATAATATACCTGCGGTTCGCAAGTGTCTACAACAGTCAGAAATTCGTTATCAGAACATGCTTATTACGAAGTCCCGGTGACAGTAATCTCAGATACATGCTAAAATACTTAAGTGTCAAAGCTCTGCAAAAAATGGTTGCGTTCATCAGAGCACGTCACGACCTGCAGTGATCGTTAACGCATTGATGCATTTTACGCTAAGTCGTAACGTCATTATCAGCTATCGTGTTGTTAATCTCATCCAGGTATTCAGGTCTTAAATGCTCTGTATCGAAACCGTTAGGCTACAAGGTTTGTAATTGCCAGAAACAATCATATACGTTTTGTAACTAACTGAAGGTTATCTCGTAAAGCAAAATCCCATGAATAGGTCTGATCGGATCATGAGTACATTTTTATGTGAATATATCGTTTCGATCCATCAATCTGTAGTTCAGAAAAAGCTCTTAAATATGCTAACGAGATAAGATTGTTGGGCGGGGTAGTAACTAAATTGATCACCCCTAAAAAGGGAAAGGACTCTCAAAAGCTCATTGTTAGAAATAACTCGTCTTGCTCTGCTTCTTTCTTTCTCCTTTTTAAATATAAATCAGCAGTGATTATCGTATAAACTTTACTGGTTGTACAGTCAGCTTATGTCAAATACCCGTTATAAAATCCATGGTTTGATAAACTTCTCTGCGATCTTTGTTGAATTAAAGGTGTTCTGCTCCCTGAAATTATCAATAAATTTAGTTTATAATTCACAAGCATTGCTGTGTTACGACAAAATTATACACATTAAGTGCACCTGCAACTTGCATATTTCCTCCCAAAAGCTGACCTCTAGAAGAGGCAGATAAATTCTTGTCCTTTTATTACTGCATTTGTTACTTAGTTAAAGATACAGTAAGAACCACGAATCATTAAGCCATATTAATATTAGTGATGTAAAATAATTAAGTAACGCTTACAAAATAATCGTTACAAATGAGTAACTAAATGTAACGAGTCCTACTTTTCGAAAAGACTCGTTACTTTTTATTTGAATTCGTTACTTTGAATGCGATACGGTCTTTTTCTATGTATACTTTTTAATTACTGTTAGTTACTACACTATACATTACTTTAGATACAAACGTTACTGGGATCTAATGTAGCCAGTACTGCCAGCAAGTGACTTGGTTCTTGGATGTAAACTGGGTGGAAATGAAATGATGCGAATATCGTTAGGCTTAGGCAACTTTAGATACTCTTCTATCAAACGAGTTGCGGACTGCGGAGCTTTAGGTTGGCAATGTTTGTGTACACCTGTACACTTTTCATTTGACTTTGAGAGCTACCGGTTGGCGGGTTGTTACTGGTTTGGACGTTGCCGTACAAGCTCGAGCAATAATATAATTATTATTTGTACAAAAATATGGAATCATCCGCGTCCGGTTCAGGAGAATCGCAATCTCAAAAAAGAAGTGTTATTTGGATGCATTTCACCAATATATTGGAAGCTAATGCAAAGTCTAATCTTTGTAAAAATATTTATTCGCATAAAAATGGAAACATTAGCAATTTAAGGAAGCATTTGAAAACTAAACATCCGACTCTTTCATTGGAAGGAGAAAGGGCAAAACGGCGGGTGGAAGACGAAAATATGCCTAGGTGCAAAAGGAACCTAGTTCAGGTATGTTTTATTATTATAAGTATTTTGTTGAACACCATTTACAGTGGAGTAACCAGACTGTTAAGTAGGGTAGGGGAGTAACCAGACTGTTAGGGCAGGGGACGCTACTCAACTAAAGTAAAGAGTGAGGAGAGTGGTTCCTCCACGGTCCCCATCTGGTTATGCCACTTGTTAAATACTATTTACAGCGTACAGCCAACGACCAGACGTCACACAACGACGAGTTTAAAATATAAGTACCTTCTACGTATCAAATATCAAAAAAATTAATAGGCAAGGCATTAGACAAAAAATAATAATTGGATCAATCCCAAAATAATAATTTGATATAATATTTAGAATGTAGGTTCTAAACGAAATGTCCAAATAGCAACTAAACTAACGCAAAACGTCTTTTAAGGTTTGAAAATGAAAATATCGATTTCATTACAAACTATTTCTTACCAGAAACCAGCGAAACTCGAGGTGGTGCTGTGTCCTCAAGAAAATATATTGATATATTTCTCCGGTATATTAGTGACCCTGGTTTTCAAAGTGGTGTTGCAAACGATTTTGGTATTGAAAGAACAACAGTTTGTAAGACTGTAGATTATGTTGCACATGTTGAATGGCAAAATACAGGATTCCCACCGTAATTGGTTGTACCCTTATACAAATTAACCTGAAGGGCAGTTTGGCGATGAGTAAGTGCGTAAATAGGAAAAATGTTGCTTCATTAAATGTTCAGATGACATGTGATGCAATGGAAAGGATCACAAGTATAGACGTGCAATGGCCTGGAAGTGTGCACGATAGTAGGATTTGGAGACAAAGTGCTGTTCAAGATTAAAAGGGAATGCTTGCTTGCTAGGGGACAGCGGATATGGTATATCTCCATCGCTTTTAACACCATTTAGATAACCACAAACTAAATTAGAACGGCGGTACAACAGATTACATTCAAAAGAAAGAGTTGTAATAGAACGTGTATTTGGCCAACTAATACAGCGCTTTCCACTTCTAGCAAATAGGATTAGACTTGCAATAAGGAACGTACCGAAAATAATCATATGTTGTGCTGTAGTTCATAATATTGCTAAGTATTCGCAGGATGAGTGGGACTATGGAATAGAAAATAATAACGACGATCATGATGCTATCCCAGAAATTGTTGAGCAAGACCAAGGAGACATTAGACGTCTTGGTGAAGAAAAGCGCTTAGAAATAGTCCAAATAATAAATCAGTTTAATTCAATTTAAATAACAACATATGTTTCCAACATATTTATCATAGGTAATAGGTATCAAATAAAAATTATGTAACTCTAAGTACAGTTATTCTAATTAACACGATATTATATCTACTCGTACCAAAAGTTTTGATACACATTATACATGAGAAATTATAGATAAATTCTAATTATTCATAAATGTCCAAAGTTCGAAAGTAACGAGTCCTTACAAGTCCTAAAAAGTAACGAAACTTTGCATCACTAATTAATATTTTAAAATATGGTGGAGGTGCATACCATGTGTAACAGAAGTCATAGAAGGCGTTTATTTTTACAGATATTTTTTATAAAGGTCAGGGTCAGGTCTACACTAACTTTGAAAAAAGAGTTTGAACTTGAGCCTAACCTTCAAGGTTATTTTTAAGGTTAGCTCCTTTCTTAGATAGACAGTCCCTCCCCCCTTTGGCACCGACAGTTGTCGCTATTGCGAAAATTTCTAGGAGTTTAACTGAATTACTGACGAAAAAATACTTCTTTAGTAATCTTTAACAAGAGTTTCAGTGTGATTCAATTTAACCTTGAACCTCACCTCCAAATATTTTAAGGTCAACTTTTTTGAAACTAAGAACTTCCTTCGTTGACACCGGTAATGTAAAATTTCTTATTTGTTCTCATGTACTATTATCATATTACTATTACATCATGTCAGAATAGCACATGTGTTCAAGGTCAAATCCAAGGTCAGTATTGAAATCCTGGTTAAAATTTACTGAAGGTATGGCCTTGATTTTTTCATCAATAATCATGCTGAACTACCGTGTTTTCCCTAGCATCACACATCTCACCTTCATTTGCCCTTTAAAGGTGACCTTACTTCTAGATTTTGGTCGTAGAATTTTCCGTTCTTTCGATTTTTAGAGTCAAAATAGAGCTTTCCATTTAAAAAATCATGAAATAACTTTAAGAATGGGGCTCAAGATGAAATCCTAGGTCACAGTTAAACTCTGTTTAAAGTTAGCAAATCTTTTAAAAAGTATTCCTTATCTTACCGTTCCGTTACTTCTATTACTCCCGGTATGTGGAGTTGTATGCGCATTCGAGATTTTTCAGAGCCGCGATATGTAAAATTATAAAAATGGTGGACGTGCGTTCATCTACAAACTTATCATCCAAGCATTTGTGCAACTAAAGGGAAATGTGGATTGAACCACGTGCATCATTGAGCTCGATTAATTTTCGGGTGTGTAACTTTAAGCATCTTTTTCAGTCATGCCGATGGAAGCATAAAATTCTGGGACGCAAGTGCGGGAACATTACAGGTACTGTATAAACTGAAGACTGCAAAAATTTTTGAAAAGCCAAAATCTCGATCGCTCGACTCCGAAGAGGATCCATTTGCAATTGAGGTAACTTATAATGGTATTTCATTTGTTCGCACATTTCGTTATGTATCTATCATTACTACGAGTAAACCATATTTCCGTAGGTCATCTCACTGTGTCCAGAATCAAGGAAGCTATGCGTGGCAGCTGCTTCAAGTCAAGTAATATACTTCGTGTACAAGAAAACTGAAACTACTGGAGAAGAAGTGACTGTGTTGGAGGTGCCAATAGTGTATGAAGCACCACCAGACGACATTGAGACTTCGCCGGATTGTCAATTCTCTGGACCTGGAAGTGCTGGGTCTGGAACCAAGCTAGATATGTTGGATTTCGATAGCAAAAAGGTAAGAGTTTGTCACAATGAAGAAAAATAGTGTAGCAATATGAAACTAGAAAATAAAAGCCAGGGAGTGTAGAGTCAAAATTTGGACAAGTAGGAACTGTCTGACACGATTTTGGACGGTTGTGGTGCCAGAGTTGGTAAGGAGTATTGCATACATATGTACATATGTTGTGTCATTTGGAAAAAAAAACATGTTACATTTACCATTTCTCTTGATTATAAGATGCTAAATGTATATCAGCCGCAGGCTATATCAGGGTGTCCAATAAGTACCGCGACAAACTTAAAGAGAAGGTAGGCTTTGGAATGACCTCCCAAATAACAAAAACTTACCTATATAAAGTGTCACCGTCTTTGACAAATTGAATTATTTTTTAAATTTAAAAAAACGAACCTTTTCATCTGTGGTCTTCAGCTGGATGTACAAATAAGGTTATACTTTGATCATTTTTTCTGTAAAATATTTCTAGATAGCTGCTTTATCATGTACAAATGCAACGTTGTTAAAAAATATTAAGGAACCATGATCAAATAAGGACTATTTTGGGATACCTTCTGGTATTGTTTCCTCAACTTTGACCATCTGTGGTGAAACAAAAATGTACTGGGCTATAACTGCATTTATTGAGTAAAAGATTGCTCATTGAATACAGATTTCAGAACGGCGCTACACGTACTATTTGGAATAGAAAAAAAATGATATTTGTAAGTGTCTGACACACACTACAATGTAATTATTGGATTTAAATTTAAGTTACTGACCAATGACATGCTGAATAGTACAGCACAACAATATAATGCAGTTATCGCCCAGTACATTTTCGTTTCACCACAGATGGTCAAAGTTGAGGAAAGAATATCAGAAGGTTATAAATCCCAAAATAGTCCTTATTTGATCATGGTTCCTTAATATCTTATAACTACATTACATTTGTATATGATAAAGCAACTATCTAGAAGTATTTTATAGAAAAAATGAACAAAGTATAACCTTATTTTGTACATGCAGCTAAAGACCACAGATGAAAAGGTACGTTTTTTTAAATTTAAGAAAAAAATCAATATCTCAAAAACGGTGACACTTTTAACTACAAAGGTAAATTTCAGTCCAAAGAATATCTTCTCCTTAAGTTTGTCGTGGTACTTATTGGACACCCTGTATAATCCGCTAAGTTCCGGTTTTACAATGGCAGGTTAATTTTCAAGTTAGGTATAACTATATATAATATATAACTATACTTGTTGATGCGGCAGTTCTACTTCTGCGTCTTAACTATCATATTCTGGGCTTTCTATGATGCTCGGTGTTTGTGTCTTGGCATTGTCAAAAACGTTAGGCATTGAGGTTTAACTGCAACTTAATAGTCAAGCCGTTGATGACCCTCTGCTTAATGTTAACTACCATCCTAGGTGACAGATGATTATGAATTCGCGTTTTGGGAGTTAATTTCTGTCACCAAAAAAGTTAACCTGCGATTGAAAAACTAGACCTTGTCCACGGTTAAAATATTTCCCTCTTCCAATGGAATATCCTTTGTAATGTAGCAATATATTAAAATAAGGTGATATTTTTTGCACACTAAGTGGCTGTCTCCGCACTGGCTCTGGCCCCGGAGATCTACTAACTTATAGTTAGCCAAGAGGCACTTCGGAGTCCAGGAGGACTGAATAGTGTAAATCTAGTTTTATGTAGAAATACTTCTTCGCATAACTTTCCGTAAGTATGGAAAGTCGCCTATCCCAAATTTATCCCGCGGTAATTCATTTAAGCGGAAAAGTTTTTAGGACATCCACGCCATAGCTAAATAACCCACTCTGAATAATAAACTGCCGAGTTTCGGGCACACCCGCTGTGGCGAAAACGCGAAAATGTGGCAAAGTTTGAATTTTCCAGGAAGTTCTCTTGTTATAGTTAGATATACTGGGATATTAGAAGTATAGGGTCTTACTAAGGCTGAGGTCACACCAGAGGGTGGTAGGCCTAGCGGCAGGAGATAAACCTATTTTAACAACTAGTTGTTGGGCTACATTTGTAAAATGAAAATTAAAACTGTTAGCATTCTATCCTTGATTGAATAATGGGCTGGCGATATGTGGTCCTGAATCTATGAACCTCGCTTTTTGTGATAATAAAGGGGTTAATTTTATGCAGATCGATCAAAAATCTCAAATGATATGTCATGTTATGGAGCGTATTATTGATCCAACCGATTTTGAGAGTGTTTTCCTGTTATCGTGGAATACACGAGTTTTCATGGTAAGCAATAATAATTTGATTAGGAAAATAAATTTGTCGAATTTTCATTCAATATTTGCCTTCTCATTTATGAAGTTCCAATTTACTTTTTCAGTTGCATTATGAAGAAATAAGAGACCAGTGTCAGTCATGAGCATAAAAAACTACTCGTTTAAATGTAGACAAGTTTGTAGGTTGCTCAAAGCAAACACTTATAGCCAAATGGTCAGGGAGGTTAAACACTCTGACATGGGTGGCAACCCGATTTATGTTTGCATATACATTATCCAGGCAATTGTTCCTCCTGACATCGTTAAAAACCTTTTGTTGAAGACCACCACATCTAAAGGTATTGATTACTTAGTTTGACCGGAGATCATTGGGGTTAAATTTTACATTAAAATCACCAGCAATAATTATGCCTCTTTCATAATCAACAGGTTCAAAGTGATGCACAATTTATTCATCAAAATTTCAAAATTGCTGTTTTGGACTATAAAAATGCCTTCGCTTTCTGGTGTTGTCAAGTGTGACAGTAATGCAGCAAATGACAAGGCACAAGGTATTTTAGGTATTGATAATATAGTCACTAATTGCTCAAAAAGTATGTTGAAACGCGCACAAACCGATAATGAAAAAAGAAACCGCTACCGATTGATAATATGTCTCATCATAGGTAACCGTAACTGGGTAGTTGAGGTGTCTACCTGAAATTACTATTTTTTCTGATTTACTGTCATTATCGAACACTTTAAACTTTCATCACCTGGGTTATACGCAGGAGTTTAAACTTTCACAAGGTTCTCCTGTTCGGTGATGTTATCCAGGTGCTTTGTTCAGCTATTCCAGCTGCCCTGATCTCGGTTTGCCATGGATTATTCAAGCGTCCCTATAGCAGCCTTCTAATTGGTTGAACGATAGAATTTGTATCACAGCATATAAAATACTTCACAGCGTCGGAACCTCCTAAAGACGAGTTTTTGAGTCAGAAAGTAAACATCCCGAGCAGTGATATATTCAAACCAAGAGTCGGACATTGTGACCAAGTACATGTATCTCTTTTCACGAGTTTTGGCCGTTACGTCACAATGTCATACGAAATGAACAGATTGACTAACTGTACCACGTGCGTAGCTCAACTTCCCGAAGAATTTGTAAACTGCTCAGGCCGATCCTTAACGCAGGTGCTAGTCGTCCTTGCACACACACATGAATTGAGTGACAGATATGGCCGTTGTTTCCGTTGACTTTCTGGAAATACTCCAATAAATGTGACACAGATTGTCGACAATGTAGTTGTATCTCCACCGCTTTGTTTCGTATCGGAGATCAACAACGGTAAACTCAAGTCGGATGCTTATATCAAGCACGCTGTGATACTGACAGTGAGAAGACTCATACGTTGACGAGAAAATTTACAAAACTGAAAAAATGGAGTCAAGCAGATTCACTCTATACTTCCCACTCCTTCGAAACAACTTCTAATACAACTTTCCATGTAATTTTTTATGTATACTCCAGCCACCACGAAGGCCTGAGTCCTAAATGCCCATGGGATACCGTGTGGCTAAAGGGGGATACCTGGGAAGGGGGGGGGGATGTCGCACGAACCCTAGCGAGGTAACAGGTATGCATACAACATGCACAATGCTTTATATACCCTAGTAAGATGTGAAGATCACCTAGAAAAATCAAAAGCTCTACAAACTTCGCGAAACACATCGCACGATCTAGAAATAAACAAAACTGACAGCTATCTGGCCAACTGGCAACATACCTAACCTACAGCTTGAGAAAACTTGACAGAACTCAAACTGTGGCCTAATCTCATACTTTTTTCATATGTGAACGGGAAATGAGCGATTTCTTTTTCGTTTTTGGCCTTTTTCGTTGCCTTCACTGGACCGATTTTCGAAAACTACAAAGATTTTTCGTCCTTGGCATAGTAATAACCTCGTGTAAAAATGTCAACATTAGCCCATAAAGTTTCTGCAGGATCTGTACTTTGGACAATGAAGCGCGGCGTACTCTGCGAAGAGCTGCCTCGCCCAATCGTAGCTTGGGTGACGTTGTGTAGTCGTACGTGGGAGACCCGTTTTAAATCCGTTCTCCTCTATGATATGATATACTAGTTGCCCCACTTTTAATTGTCATTTACGTTGATTACAACCCGTTGCAGTTCAAAACCATCATTAATCGTTATTATCTCTAAGACTCAGCTGACAATGTAGCAATCTGATGTAGCCGTTAGAAGAAATATGTATTATCCTGAGTTAACTTTCAGAAGGTACCTTGGTATAGCGGTTGATCATAGACGTCGCTTTTCTACGGGTTAATAGTCAAATTATTTGGGAGTTCTATCTGGAAAGTTTTGCGGAAGTTTTAGAATATTATTTCAGATAATGATTCCTTTGATTCTCCACTATTGTGCGTCGTATTCTTCTCTCACGCCATATGAAAAACTCTAATACATGTGCTATGCTTATTTCGCTTTTCCTTGGAATACACGTCTCGTTTCAAAAGAGTTCAATTTTGAAAACGAGTCCTGTTTTGGTAGACGAATACTCATCGTTTGAAAAAATACATTTCAAAAGTCAAATCGGAAACATCACCAACTGCAATATAGCTGATGACCAAATGCAAATGTGGAGGAAATGCTCAAAAACCTTCATAATAGGATCATCGGTTGTACCATACAAAAGTGTTCCGAAGATTCTCGAACTTCCAATCTCGTCAAGCAGCACACTAAGTGTTCCCCCACATTCTCTCTTCCTCTCTTCCATTGAACTCCTGGATATCATAGAAGTCCAAAGTTCCAAGAAGTAGGGTAATATACGTTATTCATTTGTAGGATGGAACGACAACGTTGAAGGTTCGAAGTGGAGTTCAAAAAAAACCTCCTGGATTTCAAGCGCAGCTTGTTTGTTTGACACCGTGGAATAATGGAGAGCCACCTGGGCATATCACGACTTTGACCATCAATAGCTCATATGGACTGTAAGTACATATTAAGTGAATTAAATTTACATTTCGCCTTGAAGTTGAACTTTGGCTAAGTCAGTGTCTTTTTTATCCATTAAAAGTCTACGGGGAGATGTGCAGCTATCAGTCCGGTACTTACTTGAAAACTTGAAATTCCTCATGTCCAGCTCGACCCAAAAAATGGATCTGAGACCGACCCTTATGGTACGATTCCACCAAAATAGTGTTCAGCACATTTGTTTACAAACTCCAGCATTGAATGTGCCCACTGGTATCGAATTTATCTTCTGTGTCCACCGGCAAAGCAGTGGATAACTTTTGTAAGCGTAGAGTGTAGCACACTTGTGCACGAACATGTTTACCAAGCAAAGTTCTCACTAACTTCAGTTCTTAATATGGATGGGCGGGAATGTGTAGTGTTTTCTGCCGCAGCTTGTGTTTTAATAGGTAGTCTGCTTAAAAAGAAACGAAGAAGAAAACCACGATGTTGGGTGAGACCTTTTCTGCAGCGATGGAATGAAGAAACGAATAGATTTGTAGAAGAAATAAAAGTAGATCCCTTAAGTGGATTTAAAAATTTTACTCGTATATCGTGTGAAGATTTTGAGTTGCTGGTCAATGCATTTAGTCCTCATATTGCAAAGCAAGACACCAACTACAGAAAATGTGTCCCTGTTTCAATAATTCTTATTTATAGCTTTTATTGCCCAACAGATAATATTCCATTTATAGACCAAAATCTTAAATTAGAAATATTACAAAAGCCTAACTTATAAAACTATCTAAGGCGCTCCCGCAGAACACATTTTAGCTCCGAAATAGAACATAAAAATATGTCACAAAACTTACAAGTACTATTATAATTCAAACACATAACCCTTTCAGATGATTTCAAAATCAAATTTGTGTTAGCACGACTGCAAAAGAAAGTAACATTACATCTTGAAACAATATAAAATAACAAATAATATATCTGAAAACCCAGAATCTGAAGATTTTGAATCCGCTATTTTCTTCTTTTCTCTTCGGTACTGAGCCAAAATAATCTTCCATTTTCTCATTACCTCAGTCGAGTCACAATTGAAACTTTGAGCCAACTCTTGAGTGGCGTCGTGTTTTTATAATCATGGTGACTGGAATCCCATAGAAGAGTATAAGTTTCAATTTTCTTGAATAAATTTTATAATCCTATCATTCGTCCAGCCCATTTTAAATTTCGTAAAGGAAGTGCGCGTACAAACAAATGTTTTCAGTCCAGGAGCGGAAGCAATACTGAGTTCGCGAACAACAAGTATGTACCCGAAGACGCGAGTCCACTGCTTGCATGTGCGCGCGCACAAAAGTAACTGATGTTCGCGAACGTTTCCGAAATGTTTGCGCACCATTTGCTATTGTTTGCGTGAGTGAGTCGACCAGAAGAAACATTTGTGCTGTACACTGTGCATTAGAGTGCCGCCCAGTTCAGCACACTGGTGGAATCGCATCTTTACAACGACAGCATTCTGTTACATTTTGTTACAAGTAAGGTGATGGAGAGGTGCATAAATCGGCAGTTTCTGGAGTACCTATCATCACGGCATAATTAGCGACAGGCAATATGGTTACTGGCATCAGTGATCAACGAGGTACCTCCCAGCTTAAGTGACGCAACTATGGAGTAAACTCAGCTGGTTATATGATGACTCTTATGTTGTTGCTTTTGATATTAACAAAGCGTTCGATTCGCTGTGGCATGCTGCCCTCTTATGCATACTTTGTTTTGCAGATGTGTCGTGTCGAGCTTCCTACATCCATAACTGGTCGATACGACCGCTCCTTTGTCCCTAGAGTATCGAGATCATGGAACAATCTACCTGACGAGGCTTCTCCCAATTCTACTCCAGGCAGTTCAAAAGTCGGATTAACCAAGTTTCTTTAAATTTCGGTATAAAGGAAATGGGCAGATTTTACTGGGGCAAAAGTGTTTGATTAAACGGGTATGAAAAAAATTGGTCTCATGGTCATACCGGATTTATCCAAAATTAAGCTTCGACCGTTGGACGGCGTTAGAGAAATTAAATTAAACTCAAAGATTTCTCTCGTCTTTTCAGTTCATTGAGATCTGTATATCTGTTTCTTTGACGCCATTTTTCTTGCAGGATGTCATATGGTAATGAAAGTGGTCTAGTAGTGATCGACATAGAGCAACGGGTTTGCTTGCTAAACGTAGCAAGCCCGGACTTGTATGGAGCCCAGGATCCTTACTCCAGAGCACCACGGAGCCCTAAAAAGGGAGCCCAATGCGGTTATGAGGGGCCCGTTTCATTGGGAGATCAACAGCAGCGGAGTCCCAGTGTAGATCAGGTAGGTGCTATCAATATTAATGGTCAAAAGAATAAGTTTTTTGAAACATCGGTTTAATATCACAGTGGGTGGCTTTCAGTTGATGGTCGGCAAGATCCACATAATAATCAGACTCCTAACACAATGTGTGTGATTGTTATGGTAACACTGGACATACCTACCTCAGAACCAGAATTAGGTTACTAAAAATACTGATTATTTTTTTTTATTTGATGCGCTTCGAACAAGGATTTCTACCATTTTCTTTCAGATACAAATAGTCGTTCACTAGTTTCTAAAGTGCAATAAAACTAGTTACTTGTATTGTTGTCTTTGGATCTTGTCGATATCACTCAACAATGCTCCATTCTGACATTTGACTTTGCTATATCTAAGATCTTGAGGGAGATGTGACAGTTAAAAAAATGAATAAGCTCAATACATTTTCAGAAAGCTCCACTATTTTTTATTTATACTTAGTAATGTGAATTTCTAGACTTTTGTTGGTATTGCGAAATTTGAAAATGTAATGTGGCCCTTGTCAACATCGAAAAATATTTTTTTTTGATTTTCAAGGGAACTGAAATATAAAAAATTATTAATAGTTTAGTATCATTTTGAATTCATTATAACACTTAGGTCTGTAAATACCACGTTTCGATACTCTGATAACAAAACTAAAAGGAACTTACCTATTATACTACTTAATTAATACAATACTATTCATCGTTTTTCTCGAAATACTAAACCATAGAAAATCGATGATATGCATTTACAGAATCTATTCTGATGCTGCAAGACTGGAATGAGGTTTAGCCACGAAAGGTAAATCCAAAGTATCGACTACGCTCCTGCAATGAAGATTTTGGAGGTGTTTATACGTAGTTTGAGCTGGTTAAGGAAGACTCGTGATATGTTGCTATATTTACTCATAATTTCTTGTTGCGTCAAACAATGTATTCCTATTCATATTTTATTCATAACTAAACAATCGAATAAATTCCGTTGAGAGACTAGATATTTGCCAAAAGTTGTAACAAACATTTGACTAATCACATTTTTCCAACCTTCCAAGCTTTTTAAGTTACGAAAATGGTTGGTGAACATGTCATTAGTTTCTATGAGTCATGAGGATAAGTCTGGCGTAAGAAGTAGTTTACTGTAAAAATTCAGTTGATAATTTGTAATGTTAGTGTGTATGGTAGTGGCCTTAGAGTCTTTTTTTAACAGCCTCCATGAATACCTCTTATTGCAGCAAGTTCTTGATATTTCAAGTCAGCGGTACGTTGTCAGTGAGCTTAATATAAATGTTTCGAGATGTTATTTGTTTTCCAGAAATAAATAGTCGCGAGTAAAATCGAAAGAAACATGAACATTTAAATGCATTCCCAGTACAACTCAAGTTACTAGTAGTTACTGCAATCTTATTTTAACAAACTCAATAGATCATGAAATCGTGTAATTAGCTTTGTGTTGGGCTCGTTTTCTGCAATAAAACGTTATTTGTCTATGCTCAAGCAATTCAATTGCATCAAGATGCACGGCCACCGTAGAGAAGGCAAGCAACGAGGGTAAAGAAGCGAACGTATCACGTTTGACGTACGAGTGTGAATCGCGTCGCCGCGGTTCTCTTCGCGTCGTTTCGCGTCAGTAGGTCCGGTATCAACGTATTTACTCTCGTTTCTAATAACATTGTTCTAGCAACTTCAGCCGAACTTTTCGACGTTTAAGATAGAAATATGGAGTACAGTTTATGTGCCGTTGTAAAGGTTATATCTCAGTTAATATTATATTCCATAAATTCGAAGAAAAACAGAAAACGGCAAAAATTAGGTAATTAAAATTTCTTTTTGCTATATAATCATGACATAATGCGGTACAATATTCTTGCAACCTGAACAAATTTTCTTAATTGCAAAAGTACTATCTGTCAATTTTTCCAGCATTGGTACATAAATAATACCTTGGTGAACACGACGAAATGTCCACTCGGAAAACTAAGCCCAACTTCAAATTCAATTCGGGGTTATTATAAAATACACTTGACCATAAAATGTACATAAAAAGTGAACGACCGCATGATATTTCAACTCTCACAAAAATTGTACCTGATACCTTAAATACGCCCAATAGGGGATTTTTGGAGTTTAGTTGAGCGCGGCTGATTAAGATAAGGAGGGATACTTTACATCCTGCTTAGTACCTCCACCATATACAGCATGTTCGAAAAATAGACGGAGATATTTTAGAAGGTGATTCCTTGTTAAATAATATGAAAAAAGTTTCTATAAACATGGGTCCGGAAATACAGCTTTCAAGATACATGCTGATCAATTTAAAAAAAATTGGCAAAGAAAATTACATAATTCTTTTCTAGAAGAACTGACTCGCAAATGTCAAACCTCCATGCACAAATCATTTTTTGTTTTCTAAGGCACTTGTGATTTTTTAGCAAAAATTAGTAAACCAATTTTGTCCAGTGACATGCAACAAAACGGTTTTTTTTTTCTCGAAAACGGAGTTAGATACGAGAAAAGTGCAGCAGACAAAGAAGTTGTATTTTTAAATGCTTAATCAAACAAATAATATTAAAGTTACAAAAAAGGTAGTGGCTTACATTTTTGCCAATAATATTCGGTATGGTGCCCAACGGGACGCCACTGGACCTAATAATTTTCATCTATGTAGCGCTAAATTAGCTTGATACAACAACAAGTATTGCCAAATTTCAACAGAATCGGCTAAATAATTTTTAAGATATTAATAAAGAAAGAATATAAAAATTCAAATGTATTACCCTCTATAGAAGCCTTTTTCATGTTTTTTAACAAGGAATCACCCTCGAAAATATCTTCTTCTATTTTTCTTACACCTTGTATAAGCCCTTTATACAGATAGCACGTTTAGAGCAGCTGATCAGAATAGTAGAAAACGGTGAAAAGTATGTATTACAATAATCTGACGATTTGAGTGAGACGGTCACAAACTAGCAATATAATTTTATAAAAAATAAACTTTATGAAATACGGTTTTCACTAGTTTGTAGGGTTTTTCATGCACTTTCTGAATAATGAAAAATAATAATACCATTACATTTGAAGTTTCAACGGCAGTTCTAACTTTGAGGTGAGGGTTACGCCTACTGGCGGATACTTTAGCAAGTTGAAAATAATTTCCAGCAATTTGCTCTTTGTCACTTTTGTTGTATCTTCTTACACGATAGCTTTATGCTGACTGGTTGCCGAGACAGCCGGCGACCTTTATTCATACCCGGTGCAAACCTGCCTATTAGCATACCTCCTATATCAGTGACTTGTGGGGCGTGAGGCATATGTCGTATACAATATTTACTCGTATACTTGACGCGCTCAAGTATTTCTATGTAACTATTTATTTTACAACCTTTAGACACTCTCTTCACGACTAAAAAGCCACTCCTCATAATATAACCCTTCTCTTTTTCCGAGATCTAATCTTCAACATCCAATAGGTCCCTACGACGCTCCCATTTAGGCCATTTACGCTCTTGGGCTCCCCTACTAGCATGAGCATACTGAGATTTCGGCGCAAGAACATTGTAATTGCATTCACCAAATATTTTATGGGCAACATCATTTTTAGGTACTTTACACTGCGTCAGGGGTACCTAATATTTCTCATGCAAGAATATTGTAAAGACAGCGCTAAAAGGTGACAAAATAATACTCGTCTATCCAAATCTCTCAAAAAGTGAAAACCATGAAAATGTCTCAATGCGTATATTGTATTTGCGGCAGTAAGATCACTAACACAACAATGTCCCCTAAAATGCATGATCCGAAAAGCCAGTTTAAAATTTTGTCTTTATAAAAAAAGTTGGAATTTGTTAAAAAAAATTGTTCGAACAATTTTTGACACAATTTTGGTAAGGGCAACATGCCGATTCGTTCAAAGGTGTCCTTTTTTAATAAGATCATACAAAAAACGAATCAGATTATTTTTCCGAGCAGATGCGAAGATATTTATGTGTGATCGTATGACGTCACCGGTATGCATAGGAATAGTTTTTTGCCCATCCAAGGCAATTTAAAAGAACATCAATTGGGATTCCTATCACATTCTAAGAAAATGATTCTAAAACCATTTTAACAAGTTATGTACTTTGACTTACTCTGTACAATATAATTCTTGCATTGCATCATGTTAGCGCACACATGTAATCTAAGGTGTCTTTCATGATTTTTCGAAATGAGCTTGTGTGCATATTTCTGTTTAATGACTGTATAAAAACAATTGTATCTCTTGTTCTGCAATCATAGAGCAACCAACTACTGTATTACTAGTTGCTCGATTCATCTACGACAAATAAATTGATTTTTCTTCAAACTCTCTACTAACCTACGATCGGTTACTTTAAACGGTCTCTACAACTACCACCGCTCGGAAATATTTTTCTTGATTGCATACCTGTACAAAGGAATATTTATTTGCAATTAGATACATGCATGTTGCCTCAAAGCTTCTTAATGGTCGTCTACAAATAAACATAAACCAAGCTACTCGCGTTCTAGTTAAAATTAATGCGACTTGAACTGAGTCTGTGCATTTCCGGTAAATCTCAAGCAAATTAGCGAAATCCAAGATTGCACATGAGTCAAGATATATAATAAATACGTAGTTAGTCACACTGCCAGAAGCTACTGCAAACCTGTTTGCGCTATAAGCTTTGCGAGCTACGAAAATGTCCTGGATCACGTGTAATTAGTTTTGTTTTCATCCCTTCTCTCTGCAAAGCAGTGTCTATATTTACGTAAAGAGTGCAAAGGTATGGTAAAAGTAGAGGAAAGGGCCGTATACAGAACCCTCCCCCCCCTTAAAGCGGGCTACTGGCCTCATTGGCTGTGGATTCGTTGAAACTACATTATTGCCAAGTATAAATAGTAGCTTAGATATCTACCACACTATATCGTGGCCCAAGCGCAGTTCGCGTCACATGCAACTTGTTCGTTCACTATTATGTGTTTTGAGCGCGGAAAAAAAGA